CACATTCCAAAGCAGCAAACACAGGAGAAGTGTATCAGATAATTGTTGTTTTCGTTTTTCTCTGAGGCTTCTCAGCTTCCCAGGAGAAGAAATCCTGGCAAAGGGATTTTTCCAGAAAATGTGACAGTGACACCTCCCTCTCTGCTGGCTCTGTGCTGAGGGAGATGCTGTTAATTTGGCTGGGGGGGTGAGGATGCTTAACATGGGCAAAGTGAGGAGCACCAGAATTCCCCTGCTCTGTCACCAGTGAGCTGGGCCAGTGCCTGCTCAGCAATGGGCAGTGACTTGCCAAGGTTACCCAGAGATAAAGCCAAGAGATATTAGCAAGGAAGCACTGCCAGGGAGCCCTTCCCCCTCTTACAGACAAGGGCAGATTTATGCCCCGCCGTGTTCCCGGCTGTCTGTGGCCCTGTGCTGGCACCAGCCCGGGGCTGGCAGGAAGGTGCTCTCTGTCCTGCTTCATGCACCCCTGTGACTCTTGTCTTTGACTTCTCTGCCCTTCTGAGGGACCTGTGTGTGTCTGGTATTAGAGGATTTATCTCCTGTTGGAAGCTGTGCCAGGAGTTCCAAGAGAAATGTGTGGTCTGGGGAGCTGCGGGGCGGATGTGAGCGTTGGAAGGTGATTTAGAGTGTTTGCACAAGGTTTGATGCTGCAAGCCTGGTCTCAGCCTGATCTTTGCTTTAGAGAGGAGTGACAGCCAAGTTTGTGTCCATCAGGACTGAGCAGCAGATCTTTAGAAGCCCTTGGGTTTAGTGCTGTGATTTGCAGCCACAAGCACAGGTCCCTTGTCTCAGTTTGGGACCGTGTCCCCTTTTTCTCCTGCCTGTGGGGCCGCCTACATTTGCTGAGAATGTGGGAGTTTGCTTTTGTTTTCCTCCTGCTTTCAGCAAGCTCTGAAAGGGCACTTTGAGGTTAATGATGAAGAAAGCAGGACAGATATTCAGTGTGATTGTCAGCAGCCATGTCCAACCATTCCCTTGTGGCAGGAACTCCAGCACTAACCTCTCCTCTCCTCTCCACAGCTCTCCCTGAAATGCCGAGCTCCAGAAGTGTCCCAGTACATCTACCAGGCCTACGATGCCATCTTGAAAAACTAACAGGAGGTGGAGCCTGTGCCTCACCCTGCAGAAGGAGGAGGGGGGAAAAGGGGTCCCCAGAGCCTCCTTCACCGCCAGCGCAGGGAAGAGCACTCCTAACTGGAAGCAGCTGTATTCATGTGTAGGATTGCAGTCAAAGGCACTGATTAAACAAGGTAGCAATTAGTATCCACGTGCTGATGATGATAGGGAACAAACCCCTTTGGTATTTTTAGCGTCCATGGAGTTTGTAACCACTGCTTCAGACTACTCCCATGTGCCCCTTGCCCCTCACTCATCCGTTCTCGTGGGCTTCTCTCCCATTTTGTGCCAATGTTCAGTGTTTTCTAAATGGCTTTAGGTGTAGTTTGGATTTTGTAAAATAATTGCTCATTGGAAAAACGAAAAAACACCGAGCAAAAACCACACGTCTGCTGATTAAAACAAGGCAAAAGTGTCGAAAACATAACACTGCACTTTATTTTATATTTTTATACTTTTTTTTGAGTTTTTCTATTGTAATTGGCTTAAAGGGAAGGTGATTGCAAGGAAGTCTTGGGAGCCCTGCAGGGAAGTGGGGCTCTAGCAGGGTGAGCACAGCCTCGGGGAATTAGGAACAGAGCCATCAGTGGGGTCCTAGGAGGGGGATGGAGCCCTAAGGAGGGGTTTTTATTACTCTTGTGCTGGCTTCTATGGTGTTTTCACTCCAGCCATCTCCCTGCCTCATCAGCTGGTGATTTGAGGCTGCTTTAGTGTGGGGAGGAGCTGCAGGCCTGGATGGGTAACAGGGCAGGGGTGATGAAATGAAGGAAATGAGCCTGTTCTTAGAGCAGAAGGCTCCAGGTGTGGTCTCTGCATCCTCACCCATGTGCAGCCCCTCTTCCTCCCATTCTTTCTGTGCCTGCTGAGGCCAAGCTGCCTCCTCAGCCATCCCTGAGCTGTGCCCCCCTCTCCCAGTGCTGGCCCTGGCACATCCAGATGTGGCACTGCCACTTCCCCCGTGGGGCTGCAGCATCACCCAGGCCCCCACGGAGAGGGGCTGCTGCTGGCAGTGCCCCAGGATGCCAGGGGAGTGCAGTGGCTGTCCCTGTTGCCCCCAGAGCCCAGGCTGGGCATGGTGGGAGATGCTTTGGGCTTGGCAGTGTTTGCTCCCGGCCTGCCTGGACCACTCAGCTTCAGCTGGGCTGGGTGGAGCAGGCCATGGAAGGGTTTCTCCCTTTGGCAGCTCCACTCTTTGTGCCCAGCACAGTGTCCAGAGCCAGCCAGGTTCCTGCTCTGAGTCCCAAGCAGCCCCATGCCCTGGCTTCTGTTTTCCAAGCTGTCCCTTAGAGCCAGGATTGTTTCCCTTCCAGTCCACAGCTGTGGATTCACCCCATTGCATCCACTCAGTGCTGCAGCACCAGCAGTGAAAGCAAAGCTTCTTGCATGTCCCTGCTCCATCCATAGCTTGTCCTGCTTAATCCAACCCCACTCCAGACCAGCCTCTCCCTCCCCAGCATGCTTGGACATTTCCACCCCAGCTAACAAAGCTCTTGCGTGTAGCAACCCCCCCTGTTGTCCTTTTAGACGCCACTTTCAGAGTCAGTAAATGTTTCACGGTGGGAGATCGTTCATCAGGGCTTTGGCACTGGCTGCAGCCAAGAACCCGGTGCTGGGAAAAGGTCTCAGTGTCCTGGGAGAGGCTCCAGCCTCAGAGGACCCTGAGGAAGGTGTGTGCCTGTGCAGGAACCCCTGGGCTCTGGCTGGGGGGAAGAAAGTGGGGCAGAGCTGGAGCAGCCCAGCCCTTGAGCCTTGCCCAGCGTGCTGGGAGGGGATTTGCTCCGAGCCCTGCGGGTGTGGTGTAAAAATCATTAACAGAGCAATTAAGGAAGCGCCAGCGGCACTGATGCTGTGTGGGGCAGGGAAGAGAGCACAGCTTGGACATGGGGAGGGGTTGCTGAGCACCCCCTTCTCTTGCCAAATTCCTTCCCAGCTTTTGGGGTGGGTGTGCCAGCCCGGGGCGGGGTCGGTGCCACTCCCTCCGCCCCTGCTCGTTGGAGTGTTCCCGTTCGTGTTGCTCTTCAGGCTTTCCCTGCCCTCCGTGTCAATAAAGTCATTTCCACGAGGCTCTGGCTGCGTGTGGCTCTGTGGGAATGGGGAGAGGATCCATTCCCCTGCTGCTGGCTCTGCCCAGGGCTGGAGGCTGCATTTGCTGGGAAGGAGATTTTGCTCACCAGGCTTCTTTTTCCACCAGGCACTTCTACAGCACAGACCCCCTAAATGTGGGGCTTGCAGGAGGAGGAGGCAGCGAGTTCCCTTGGTGCTCCAACAGCTGCTTCTCATCTCAAGGGGCAGCAGGGACAGATGCAGATGAGAAACAGAAAATGGATGTACCCATTTAGCCCTTCTGGGGCTCCAGGGGGGCTGTGTGTGGTGTGACCTGTTTTCCGTGTGGGGAAATGGTAAAATCCTGGGAGTCAGTGATGTGTTTGGATTGCTTTGCACTGGTGCTGTTTTTCAGAGGGCTTTGCCATCTCTAGTCCCATCTCAAGCAAGATGGGTTGGGCTGCAAAACCCCTGTGCCAGGCCAGAGCCAAGCTCAGTGCCTGAACTGGCTAGAAATCCAGCAGAACACACAGCAGGTTTGGGGAGTGTTTCTCTGGAGCAGGGCAGCCTTTTCCTTCACCCTGCCCAGCCTTGGCTGAGCAGCCCCTGGAATTTTGGGAGCTTCCACCCTCTGAGAAGGGCAGGTACCACATCAAACAGTGTTGGAAGCAGGTGCACATGTCAGTTAACAGCAATGTCAGGCTGGCTTGGGGTCCTTGACCTTGCTGTTGTGTCCCTTCATCCATCCCTGGTTTGGGATGGGATCATCATTCCCTGCTGGGGATGGGCCTGGAGCAGCATTTGGCCCCACAGGAACAAGAGCTGCTGTGGGATCTCAGGGCTCTGCCCTGTCTGCTGCTGTCCTGTGGCAAAGGAAAGGTTTCATCCTCCCTCCCTGTTCTGCCAGAGGCTCCTCGAGAATAAACTGGATTTTGCTTCTGCTGTGGGTTTGCCGATTTGCTGTGGATTTCCCACCAACCCCCTGGGAGCTGGGTTTGTCATCAGCAGTGTCACCCAGGGGCTCAGGGGACACAGGTGATGCTCCCTGAGCTGGGAGCTGCCAGGGGGGATTGGTCCTCACAGCTTTCCCTGTTCCTGAGGCCACACTGTGGGACAGGGACCTCCTGAGCTGTTCCTTGCTGCTCTGGCTGGAGCTGGGGCAAATCCTGCTGTGCTGAGTGGGCTCCCCAAAATCCCTGTGCTCCCCCACTAGCCTCACACCCATCCTGCTCGGTGCCAGCAACCCCTGAGCCCATGATGGGCTGTGGGGGACTCAGGGGAGGATTTTGGATCTGGCTGAGGCAGGAGCTGACCACAGCCACCAGCTCTGCCTGTCCCCAGCTGCCACCTGCACATCAGGACACAGAGGAACGCTTGGATGGATGATTTGAGGTTTGCCTTGCACTCGTGTTGCTCAGACTGGGATAAACCTCGCAGCCAGCAGGGACGTGCCGGGATCCAGCCCCACTCCCCTCCCCCCAGCTCTTCGTATATTAAATTTCACACATTAAACTGCAACTGAAGAGCATCTCGGAGGGAACTGCTAAAAATAGCCGCGAGGCTGGAGCCTGGATTGTACGGGAGAGTTCATGAGCAGCGCGGTCCCCACGCTCTGTTCGAGACATTCCGGGGCTCGCCGCTGCTCCGTGGCCGTGCGGGGATGGGGAGCAGCGTCCGGGGCTGCTGGAAACCCCAGGGACACACAAATATCTGCATCTCTGAGCATCTCTGCAAGGAAATAACGCCCCGATCCCTGCCGGGGCTGTGACCCCCTTTGCCTGTGCCAAGGCTGTGCCAGTGTCCTTGTGCCCCCCAGCCGCGGGGCTGTGTCTGCTGCCCCCTTGTCCCCCAGGAGGGATTGGCGTTGTGTTTGCCCCTGCACCCCCTCCTCAGCCCGGAGATGATGTTCTCTCCCAGCCGAAGGTGCTGACGAGGCTGGGGGGAGCCCGGCCGAGCCCGTGCGATCGCCGCCAGCCCTGTGCAGACACCTCGGTGCTCGCCGGTGTCACAGCCAGCCCCGGTGGCCTTTGGGGGCTGTTCCGAGCAGCAGAGGGGCGCAGGGACTCCATCAGCAGCGTGTCCCGGGGGTTTGGAACATGGTCCTGGAGGTGCAGGCAGCGTCTTCCCTCTGTCCAGCACGCAGGTAAAGGCTCCGTGCGGGGTGACCCAAAAACGCAGGCACTGCAACAGAAATGTCCCTCCTTTGGGGGGCTCTGCGGGCAGCCCAGGCTCAGGGACCCCCGGGCACAGAGCAGCCCCCGTCCCCGGAGGTGAAACGATGTGCCCGGAGCACAGCG